ATATGGAACCATGTATAACACTTGAAATAAAACTTCTGTGTATATATATTCAGGCTGATCAAATTTTAGATCTTACCTGTGTGCTCAGGAAATATGAATGACAAAGAACCATTATATTCAGAATTCTAGTTCTCACAAATAGTTGTACTGTCTGATCTAAACCTACGTCTGTTTAACAATTATTACCTGTTAATAATCCACCTTTTTCAACTTTGTTGAATCAAATGAGATGAACATTTTGTCTGCCCCATAAAAGCTAAAATTTAGATTTTTAAAATCCATCAATCATGTTGGAACAATTTCATTTTAATGGCAAGCCCATTTCTTTTATAACTGTGAAGGCAAATATAGCAATCTGAGTTTTGGTTCAGTGGAATTAACAACTACAAGCACAGCAGCACTGGGAATATTTCAAGTATGCTATGATAAATTGATCACAATGGAAACATTTCCATCTGTAGAGGCCAAAGAGGACTCTGGAACTTTGAGGTATTAGGGATAATTGGCAGGGGAGAGAGTACCAGTAAAATGGAAGTCTGCTGTAGACTATCGCTTCTGAATTTATTTTTTATTATTCTTCTGCTAACTCCAGAAAGGGTGAAGATGATATTTGACTGCATGACTCAGTTTGCTAGATAGGTGCTTTGAACTGTATATTCCCTCCCCCCTTTTTTGAGTAAAAACCAGAGGAAGGGCTGGTTGGGGCAGGGATAAAGGGGCTGGGAGAGCGTTCCAATGGAGATGAATGAATGTGGTTATTTATGCTAGGGTGTTATGTTTATGGTTACAGTGGGGGAGGTGGACACCAAGTACCCTTATGGCCCTAGGACTCAATCGAGCTGAAGTTCACTATGCTGCTATATAGCAATTTCTCTGCCTCAGATCCTTGACTCCATCTCCAGACTTGCAATGAGGTTCCCCAGACCTTGGGGAACTTCAATTTGCCTTCTTTGGGATTGGGATTTGAGGGCCTTAGGAGTCCATGGCCACCATGCTGGCCTTAAGCATATCCCAGGTCACATCCCAGATGGTCACACATCAAATTTGGTATGCCAGTCAAAGCAGTGGCTATAGGATCTGAAATTGGACGACTCTTTGTTTTTACTTTGTCATTATGAACTTTTACTTTGTCATGATTAAAATTGTATTTTAATGCTTTTTAACATTTGTATTATATGTGTTTTATCTGGCTGTTCACCGCCCTGAGTCCTTCGGGAGTAGGGCAGTATACAAATTCTAATAATAATAATAATAATAATAATAATAATAATAATAATAATAATAAATAATAATAATAATAATAATTAATATAATAATCTTGTGGGACTTTAGGATCAGACTGACAGGCACTTGATCACAAACACACCTGACATAACAATGACGTCTTGAAAAGAAAAAAGTATGGTTCATTGACATTGCAATTACCTGGTGATGCACGAAATTGTGAAGAGTACAGCAGCAAGAAAAAATCACAAAGTAACGGGACTTACAAAATTGAAGTTGATTGACGACCTGTGGAAAAAGGAAATCAAAGCGGTGTGTTGTGTTGTCGATTGTAATTGGAGCCCTCGGAGCAATACCCAAAGGGCTACCCCGCTATTTAGAAATTCTAAATTTGCCGGACTTGAACATTTTGACTCTACAAAAAACCACCTTACTCGGAACAGCTTACATCCTCCGACGATACCTTAAACAGTTTTTTTCCCCTAGGGCTCTTGGTTAGGACTCGAGCTGCTGAGCTATTAACAGACCTCAAAAGGCTGTGAATGCATCTCACTAAAGATTAACAATAAATAATAATAAATAATAAATAATAATCCGATAATGCCCTGACTATTATGGGATTCTCTGACACCACTATCCACTGCAGGGAGTCTGAAGCTGTTAGATCCATCCAGCCTCAATGACTGATGGACCCTGATGGGTTTCAGAGGATTATTTGGGGTTGTTCCTGCTGGTCTGCTACACAGTCCATCCAAGGCCTTGGTTGACACTTGGAATAGGAGGGTAGTAGAGATTCTGCATCGGATTGCACCTATGTGACCAACTCTCTTGTGGAACCCACCACTCCCTATGGTTTACAGAGGAGCTGAGGTGTTGAAACAAGAGAAGAGATGTCTACAGCATCACTGGCACTCTACTGGGGTCAAATTTGACTGCACAAGACTTCTCATGATGGAAAGGGGTGACAAAGACCAAGTACTTCCCCACCCTTATTGCATCTGCAGATAGTAGACCTGCAACATTGTATCAGGTGACACAGTCTCTCCTTTTGCAGGATTGTACAGAAAAATTTCCTCAACATGCTCGAAACCATTCACGATTGGATGCTAGCTTTGTTATAGGACCAGGGGAGATGCCTGGGGCAAAGTCTTGCTAATCTGGAAGTGGTTTGGATCTGTTGGGCACAATGAAGTGAACAGAGTCCTTAGGGCCTGTAAGCTCAGCTACCTGCTATTAGATCCATGCCCCCTCCATGTTCATTTGACACTTGCCTATATATCTATATTGTAGTATAGATTATACTTAATATGTTTAACAAGTCACCACTATCAATATTTATATGTTTCTAGATTTTACAGTGCCTCTTTCACTCTGATGTGTTCCACTTGATTGGAAAAGGCTAACATAAATCAATGAATGTTGCCACACCAAAAAACAGGAGAAAACCCAAAAGAAACTCTAAATCTATGAGATGTCTTCTGAAGTAACTTAAAAGTCAATCCAAAAAGTAATGCACCATGATGTGAACTGCAATTTACATAGAGCACATACAACTTGTACTCTACACTTGGTTGTCTTCTTCTCTTCCCTTCCCCTCTTCCTTCCCTCTTTCTCAAAGGTGTGATACTCTTTGTGTTAGAATAATGACAACGCCTGTGAAGTGTCACAGACCAGGGAAATGGTTAAGTAAGGTTTTTAGTCATCACAGTAGTTTCAATGCCTTGCAAAATATTTGTCCTGACACTATATTGTAGAAGAATTGGAATAACATATAAAATAAAGGGAAGGAACTAAACATACTTTTTTCCTATAATTATTCTGCAAGTGGAATTAACCAATGAAAACATTGCCAAAAGATTTTCTTGCTATTAACATAACTAGTATGACTAAAAGCAATTTTTTACTGATATCTGTATAGACCTATTTTTAAGCTTTTCTCAGTACCAAAGTACTATTCAAACAATAGTACAGAAAATACATACATTATGAAAGGAATGGAAGAGGAAGGCCCAGAATAGTTTATAGCTCTGACATGCTCAAATGGCTGAATGGGATTAGTGATCAGTTTAGAAAGATTAGTGAAATAAATCAGGAACATCTAAAGTTCATGTAGGTTTCAATTTCAGCTTGTATAACTGTCACAATTATGAATGCATGTGGAGTTACTGATGCAAAATTATAAAAGTGTGATCAATTCATTAACCCCACAAATTCAGCCTCTGTAATGCCAAAGCATGAAGTTTATAAATGAACATCCTAGAGTTTCACCAAGATAAATACTCTAGATTATCTGATGCAAATTTTTAACTAGAGCTACTTGAACACTGTTCTAAATAAGCAGATAAGTAAATAAACAAGCAAACAAATAACTGCACAAAAATAAAATTATATAATAAAGTAATCTATATTGTCACAGAAAAAACAGAATTTTACATGCTGGTTATTTATTATAGCCTTAAATTTTATTATAGAATCCATTACACTCTTTGTCAATGTCTGCTAGGGTTTCCTATTCTCTTAATAATGGTTTGGTATAAGTAATGCATGCATTTTGCAAAAATTATGTTTTCTTCTTCTTAACAAATATAATTGAGAAAGCTTCTAAGACTCGTATAGATAAAATGCTTGGCAAAGCTAAATATTCATACCTTTTGAAGTGTTAAAATAATTTTTAATACATATTTATAACCATAAATATGTTTTGAAACAACGCAAATAACCATTAGGATATATCTTTTCAAATAATTGCTTTTATTTTTCATTAATATTATCTGTTGTTGTTCTTCTGCAGCTCTATGCATCGTGGCATGTATACACATTTGAATATATTCTATTACATGATTTAATTTTGTAATACATTAAAGAATTTGCATTTCCTTTTCCTAAATTGCTGAACAAATAATTTGATCAAATAAAACAGTAAGAACCCTCCCATAGTAGCAAATATTTATGAGGTATGGAATGATTCAGTTAGAAAGGGTTTGTTTGGGGCTTATATCTAAAGCATATTTACTAGGCAATCATATCATCAATGCTATTCAAATAATACTGTTATCAGTGCACTATATTATAGCAGTGGCCCACAATCTGAGGTCCTTGGGCTGTGTGTTTCCTCCAGTCAAAAGGTTTGAATATAACTCCTAGACACCAGTGACCTCCTTGTGGTGTTTAATGGGACAGAAAGGAAGAAGGCTTGAATACATGACTAGGAGTAATCATATTACTGTATTTAATGGAAATTATATTTAAAATAACAACAAAATGAAACTTAGTTTAAAATTATCCTACCTTCTCCCCACTATAGGGTATACCAGCCTCCAACATATTACCCAAAGGCCAATAGTGGCATTCAGTCTAGAAATCCAGTCTCTGGATAACATGAATGTGTGTATGTATGGAATGTGATCAGATCTGTAATCCTTTTACAATAGCAAGACTTATATACCGCTTCATAGTGCTTTACAACTTTAAGTGTTTTACAGATTCAGCATATTGCCCCCAACAACCTGGGTCCTCATTTTACCAACCTGGGAAGGATGGAAGGCTGAGTCAGAATCGAACTCCTGGCAGTGAAGAGTGAGTTAGCATGTAATACTGCATTCTAACCACTGCACAGCTGTCTGGTAAGGTATCAGCTTACTGGAAGTAACAGCTGGCTTTCTTTTACAAAAATAATACAATGAACAGATAGCACAATACCAAACAATACATATCAGACAACATAGAAAAGAAAGAACAATGGCAGATTACAGTTGCTTGGACTGTTTTCATCTTACCTTTCGGAGAGGTTTAAGTTTAGTCTCCATGATGAAGTCATATTTGCAGAGTTCACAGCAACGCGTGTCTGAGCTCTTAATCCATTGATGTAGACAAGCCTGATGAACGAAACGTAAGGTCCCTGTGCAGCGACATGGTGTGATGAGGGGGCTTTCATCATCTCCCTCACAGTGACAGATCCTGATAGAACGACAGCAACTCAGTGAGAAGATCTGAAGTTTATTTAGACCCACTTTTAGAGTGGCAGCTGACATTTAAAACATTAAAAGTATATCCCCTTTGAGATTAGAACCAAGAAATTAATTCCTTTTCCATTTTGTAGCTTTCTATTTCAGGAATCAGCTTTCCATTTTTAGTATTTCTGAAAGGGTCTGGTTGCTTTTCTATATTTCAAACTATTGTGTGAATAAACTGCTTCATACTGAACATATTAACAATCTGTAGCATCTATCATTATGCTACCAGGCTTGAAATTTTGGACCTGGACAACCTAGAACTACGGCGCCTACAGTCTGACCTAAGCTTAGTACACAAAATTAGTACAACATCCTACCTGTCAATGACTACTTCAGCTTCAACCGCAATAATACGCGGGCAAACAATAGATACAAACTCAAAGTAAACCGCTCCAAACTCGATTGCAGAAAATATGACTTCAGCAAGAGAGTGGTCAACACCTGGAACTCACTACCTGACTCTGTTGTTACATCCTCAAACCCCCAAAACTTTAACCTTATTCTGTCTACTGCTGACCTCACCCCATTCCCAAGAGGTCTGTAAGGGACGTGCATAAGGGCACCAGCGTGCCTACCGTCCCTGTCCTACTGTTCCCATTTATTCGTACTCATTTAATATGTATATACTTATACCTGTTTATATTTATATGTTTATATGTTGTGTTCATACTTATACTTGTTTTCTCATACATGCTTGACAGACTAACTAACTAACTAACTAAATATAAATGGGCATGTCTGATCAAAGCTTTTCTTTTTAATTTTAAGGCACTTTCTGCATACTGATTTTAGTAGAAAATAATTAGAAGTAATTCAAACAACTTCATATTCTCTCAGGAGTGTTCTGCTTTGAAAAAGTCCCCTGCCTTCTGCTTTTCCTAGAAATAATTCAGTTTTGATCTAGTGATTAAGGCACCAACTAGAAAATGGGAAATCGTGAATTCAAGTCCGCCTTATCCAACTGGTGACTTTGTATCTCAGCCTTATATACTTCATAAGATTGTTGTGGGAAAAACAGGAGGATGGTGTGGTATGTATGTTCACTGCCTTGAGTTATTTGTAAAAATAGTAACGGCAAGGTACAAATAAAAGAAATAATCTTTTTCCTGGTTGAAATATGTTTTTATCTTATTTATTTTGCAAAGCAGAATAGAAAGAAGGAATCACTAAGGGGAGAGAGAGCAGTGAGTATTGTAAAGGTAATAAACTAACTGCATAAGTTTATAAAGGTAAAGGTTCCCCTCGCACATATGTGCTAGTCTTTCCCGACTCTAGGAGCGGTGCTCATCTCCGTTTCAAAGCCAAAGAGCCAGCACTATCAGAAGACGTATCTGTGGTCATGTGGCCGGCATGATTAAACGCCAAAGGCACATGGAACGCTGTTACCTTCCCACCAAAGATGGTCCCTATTTTTCTACTTGCATTTTTTACGTGCTTTTGAACTGCTAGGTTGGCAGAAGCTGGGACAAGTAACAGGAGCTCACCCCATTACGCGGCACTAGGGATTCGAGCCGCTGAACTGCCGACCTTTTGATTGACAAGCTCAGCCTCTTAGCCACTGAGCCACCGCATAAGTTTATATCTCTGGATAAAACAAATAGAGAGCTATATGCAACTTGGAAAGAATACACAGCTAGTCCTTGCTTATTTAGTGACCGCTCAATGTTAGAGCACTGAAAAAGTAACTTTACAATGGGTGCTCACATTTTGTCTGTTGCAGGACTCCATAATCAGTAATGATTGAGATCCAGGCACTTTGCAACTAGCAGATGTCTGTGACCATCACAGCATGCTGCAGTCATATGATCAGCATTTGTGTGCTTCGCATCTGACTTCCAACAAGCAGAGTTAATGAAGAAGCTGGCGGTAAAGTCACAGGTTAGAGTGACATGATTTCTTGCTTAATGACTACACATGATTTGCTTAATAATTGCAGTGGAAGTGAGATCTGTTGCAGTCTTGTGATGTATCACACAATGACTGTATCACTTAGTGATGGAGTTGCCAGTTCCAGTTAAGCGAAACTACCTGCAGTTGTATCAATACTATATCCAGTGGTGGGAATCTGCCGGTTCTAGGGGGTTCGGCCGAACCCTTTGTTAAATTGCTGGCTCGCCCCGCCCCTTGCCCCGCCCCTCCGCACTACTATTTATTGCCAATAAATGGGGCAGGTGAGCCAGCAATTTAACAAACGGTTCAGTGTTTTTTTGTAATTTATTGGCCCCGCAGCACACCGAACCATTTGTTAAATTGCTGGCTTGCCCGCCCCTCGCCCTGCCCCGCCCCTCGCCCTGCCCCGCCTCCCATCCACGCGGCGTCAGCCTACCCTAGCCCAGGGCTGGGCAATTGTGGCTCTTTTACAACGTTTGGACTTCAACTCCCGCCTAGCCCATTCTGGGGAATTGTGGAGAATTCTGGGAGTTGAAGTCCACAAGTCTTAAAGCTGCCAAGGTGGGAGACATCAAGCATGAAGCTGGCCAAGTATCCTCCTTGAAAGACAACAGTTGAACAACAGGAGAGCTGTAAGAGGGCAGGGCTACATTTGGAAATTTTCGCATTTTTGCAGGTGGTGCATTACGATCTGGTGTCTGCAATGGAGAGCAAAATCCGGCATATTTGCGGGACAAGGCAGCCCTCATCTCCTATCGCTTGGGACTCGGAGCGGTAAACAGCGTCTGGTTCGGGGAGCAGCCGGTCTCAGCTCTCTCGCTGTCACCCGTAGTCGGAAATAAGCCACGCTGCAGTCAATGGGTTTTTGAAGCAGGAAACGGTTTATTCAGCATCCAAAGGTGGTGCAAATACTTGCTGAGTTCAAGTGAGGATAATACAAAGTCGGCGTTGGGCGGCGCCGCCACTCAATGCAATTTAAATAATAGCGCCCCTCACCGCCCTTCCAGGCTCCTCCTTGCCGGCACGCCCCACTCATAAGCGGCAACGCGTAGCAGCTGTTCCACACCCTACCGCGGCTGCCAGGTGACCGTCCGCCTGCCTCCCTAACACCCCCTCCACCAATCCGTGTTTAGGAAGAATTAACCCAACCCCCACCCACATAGCCTCATCGTGTTGATTTCGCATCTGCAGGAGCATTCGTCGTCAACGTGTCGAGTGTGGGATCTCGACAGCCGGATTTTGCTCTCCATTGCTCTCTCGGCCCCCTGCAAGCTCTCGTCTCTCGAGGAGCACTCCCTGAAGTGGCGCGGGAAACTTTGGTTGGGATTCTCGAGAGATGAGAGCTTGCAGGGGGCCAAGAAGAGTAATGGAGAGCAAAATCCGGCTGCTCCCCGAATCAGACGCTGTTTACCGCTCCGAGTCGGCAGGAAACGAGGGCTGCCTTGCGCCGCAAATATACCGAGGTGTTTTTTTTGCTCTCCGTTGCAGACACCAGATCGGCCCCCTGCAAGAGAATGAGAGAGAGAGAGTGGAGAGAGAGAGAGAGGGGGGGGAGAGAGAAAAGAATGAGAGAAAGGGGGAGAGAAAGAGAAAGGGGGAGAGAGAAAGAGTGGGGGAGACAGAGAAGGGGGAAGAGAATGAGAGAGAGATTGGGGGGAGAGAGGGAGAGAAAGGGGGAGAGAGAATGAGAGAGAGAGTGGGGAGAGAGGGAGAGAAAGGGGGGGAGAAAGAATGAGAGGGAAAGAATGGGAGAGAGAAAGAGGGTGAGAGAGAAAGAGAATGAGAGGGAAAGAGTGGGAGAGAAAGGGGGAGAGAGAGAAAGGGGGGAGAGAGAGAAAGAGGGGGGAGAGAAAAAGAGAATGAGGGGGGGAGAGAGAAAGAGGGGGGAGAGTGCCTGAAGACCTATCCCGTCACTGGAATCCAGGTGCTTCAGCAAGCGACACGCTGGATTCGTATTAGTGGTCCGCGAAATTTAAAATTATGAACTTGGTGGTCCCTGAGGTCCAAAACGTTGGGGACCCCTGCTCTGGAGGATTCAAGTAGCTTAATTGTGCTTGCTTGCCAATACCAGAATTACAGAGTTGGAAGGGACCTTTGGAGGTCTTCTAGCCCAGAGATGTCCAACCTTGGCAATTTTCTCTGCCTGGGCCTGATGCTTCCTGAAAGGCAGGGGGTCTCTCCGAATGGGACCCCCTCCCCAAAAGGCTGGCCCCAAAGTCTTAGCTCAGAGATCTTCAAACTTGGCAGCTTTAAGACTTGTGGACTTCAATTCCCATAATTCTCTAGCCAGCATAGCTGGCTGGGGAATTCTGGGAGTTGAAGTCTGCCAGGCTTAAAGTTGCCAAGGTTGGAGATCTCTGGACTAGAAGATAAATGATGACCGGTCAAAAGTGCGAGGACCTGTCAGAAATCACTTTTTTCAGCCCTCTGAGTAGTCCCTATGTGCATATGGACTACTCAGAGGGCTGAAAAAGTTATTTTTGACCGGTCCTCACACTTTTGACCAGTCCTTGAACTTACGACTGTCCTCACATTTTACGTTTTGCGCCCTATCTTGTCACCATGGTGAAGAGAAGTAGTGGTGAAATGATAGACACGGTTGTTAAGAATGCCGCAATGAGTATAAATGTGAGGATGGTCATAAGTGTGAGGACCAGTCAAAAGTGCGAGGATCAGTCAGAAATGACTTTTTTCAGCCCTCTGAGTAGTCCCTATGCACATAGGTACGCCCACCTGGTCACATGATCAGCTAGCCACGCCTACCCAGTCACATGACCAGCTAGCCACACCCACCCAGTCACATGACCATCAAGCCACACCCCCAACTAAGCCATGCCCACAGAACCGGTTGTAAAAAAATTGAATCCCACCACTGACTATATCAGAAAAGAAATGGAAAACAAATGGCTTCTGGTGGCCAGAAAAGCAATATTTTTCCCCATGTGGGATTCAAATCTAATTCTATGTGATATTCCAAATTTATTATTATTTATTATTATCTGCCTGTTTTTAAGACTTTTTCCATCATGTAATCAACAGTAAAAAAATCACTAA